TCAAACCCAAGAAGGTGTTCATAGGATTTGAGCAGCTAGAATTCGTAGGGCACACCCTTTCTGCAAGGGGTATGGCCGTGCTAAAGGACAAAGTGGAGAAAGTGGAGAACTTCGGGATCCCGATCACAAAAACGCAGCTGCGAAGCTTCCTTGGGATGACTGGTTATTACCGCAGATTTATCAAAAATTTTGGCCAGATTTCCAAGCCACTAACCGAGTTGCTCAAGGTGACCCCAGAGCGACGGGGCGCGGAGTTGGCCACATGGGATGATGCACACCAGCGGGCTTTTGTGGAGCTGAAGTCAGCCCTCACCCATGCACCGGTGTTGGCAAAACCGGACTACAGCTGCCCTTTTATTGTGGACGCCGATGCGAGCAACGACGCGGTGGGAGCTGTACTTTCCCAGGTTGTGAATGGCAGTGAGCACCCTGTGTATTATCACTCACGCCTTTTGACGAATGCAGAACGGGCATATTCAGTGACAGAACGCGAAGCGTTGGCTGTGGTGGTGGCAGTAGTGAAGTTTCGGCCATACATATTAGGCCGGACCACAGTTGTGAGAACCGATCACATCCCAATTGTGGGGTTGCTGCGAAAACGCGATCTGACTGGGAGATGTGCGCATTGGAAATGCATACTTGCAGAATATGACCTTGAGTTCCAGTCGCGCAAAGGGCAGAAACATTCCAACGCTGATGGAATGTCCAGAATGATGGCAGAAAATGCGGCTGAAATCGCACCAAATGCTCAGAAATTAGATGATGATGAATTTCAGTTCTGGGCCAGAGCAGTGGATGATGAGATGGCCTGTGAATCGTCTCATGACCTGTCTAGATGCCCTGAGCTATGCGTGGAGATGTGTGATGGTAAAGTAGGCATGGATCCGGAGGATGAGATGGCAGCGATTCCCACTGACGGGATTCAGCGATTTGTGAGTTCTGAGTGGTATCAGGACATCATGAGGGAAGTGTTTTCAACTGAAGGGTTTAAGGTGGAAGGCGGACGCCTGCTCAAGCGCATGGCAGGTGGCACCTATACGATCTGCCTTCTGGAGGCTGAAGTACCAAAGGCCCTACGACAAGCCCACGATTCTGCACTTGGGGGCCACTATGGGAAAGAGGTGACGATGAAGCGCCTAGAAGGGGCATTCTGGTGGCCCACTTTGAAAGGTGATGTCACCGCCTGGGTTGATAAGTGCATGCGCTGCGCGCAACATGGGCCTCGAAAGGCCTCACGAAATCGTGTGCCGGTGGCTGCGCGGCAACCGTTTGAGTGGGTCCAGATCGACTGGATAGTGGGCATGCCGGTGACGCCAGCTGGAAACCGTTGCATCATAGCAGCGATTGACGGAATGACGGGCTATATGACAGCCCGAGCATATCCCAACGCGACCGCAGCTGCCACCGTGGAATTCGTGGTAAATGAGATTATCTTAAAGTTTGGAATCCCGCACAAAGTACATACGGACAATGGGGCACACTTTTATGGTGCATTTCAGACTTTGTGCGAAAAATGGGGAATCCGACGAAGCTGGTCGGCGGCTTATTACCCTCCATCACATGGGAGGATCGAACGGGGTAATCAGGAGGTCTTGGTGCGTTTAAGGAAAATGTGCGAAGGAGATTGTTGGGACCATCTGTTGGTGGGAGCACTTTTCGCCATCAACACGCGCCGCACGCGGAGACGCAATGCATCGCCAGCTGAATTGTTGTACGGAGTTCTGCCCAGGGGCCCAATGGAAATCAATGTGCTGGCTGAGTGTGACATAGCGCCATCACTGCCAGAGGAGGGCGAGAACACTAATAGGGACAATGCTGCGAGATTGGCGAAGTTGGAGCAGCTGCGCCAACAACACGTGTTGCAGCGGCAGGAGGTTGCACGTGCTTGGGAGCATAAGGACACGACCAGCCTGCAGCCGGGAGATCCTGTGCTTTATTGGGTGGAGAAGAGGGCCCACAAGCTAGCGCCACGATGGGCTGGACCTGCCACTGTCAAGTGGGTAGGCGCCAAAGGAGCGATTGGAGTGAAGGTGCCGGGAAAAGGACGCACGAAGGTTTTTGCGGGACACCACGTCAAATTGTGCACCGCGGATCCAAAGACCAGAGCGCCAGTGGCCGGAAAGCGTGGAATCAAGCGTCAAGCTGGATCCGGAGCAGCTCCACAGGATGACGGAGTGGGCAGCGGTCGCCCACCAACAAGGCGGCCAAGAAGGTGAAGGTTCGGAGGTGAAGGTGCATCAGAGCCGGGGAGCATTTTGCCATTGAGCGATGGAAAGAATGGCAGCATCTGTCTATGATCTGATCGAGTGGAATGGGGGCAGTGGCCGATGATCGATTTTTGCTCGCGCCGGGGACGTCGCGACTTGCGCCGATAGTGCTGTGGGGAGTGGGGCTGTACGTATGATAGGGGAGCCAATTAAGGGGAATTGGCTATAGTGAACGAACGGGGACGGCTTTGGGATTGGATCATAGTTGGGGATGGCGGCGGGAATAGGAGCTGAGGAAGTGTGGGAGTGAGGGAGAGTGGGAGTGGGTAGTGTACGCGGGTAGCTGCTGGGCTAGTTGGCAATGGATCATAGTTGGTCTGGGCGGCGGGAATAGAAACTTGGCATGAGAAATGGACATGAACCCGGCCAGCTCGTGAAAGTGGCCAGAGTGGTTATTCTGGAGACAACAACTCATGAACTGTCACACCATCGCACTATAAATACCACTCGCTTCGTTTGTAATGATGGGTTCGGATCGTGAGTGACAGAGTTGTCTTCCCCGCGCGGGGCCGTCGTGAATGCCTCCCGTACCCACGGGGTCGCCGCAGCCCAAAGGCTCATTGCGCAATTGAGCCGCCCAAAGGCCGACACAACGCACACTTTCCATTAGGTCTAGTCATGCTGAAACGCACGCAGGCAGCTGTTCAGCTCGTCGACAACGGACTAGTGCGTAGCACGATACTCAGATGGGTTCCCCCGTACCGCTTGCCAGCAGTGCCAGAAAAAACTGCGTGGCGTGGATGGCTGCGATTGGCCAGCGGCTGGGCGCCTGGGCTGCCCTTGCCCGCAGGCCACAAGCCCCTGGGCGATGTGGATTCGAGGGATCTTCATCTCCTGGCCATGTACAAGGCCCCCCGGGGCCGGCCGGCGCAACTTTACCGGCCAGCCCCACCCTCCTTTCGATTTCGGACAAATGATGCCGCCATGAAGACTACAGCCAAGGGTCAGCAGAGCGGCCCCATCCACAACGACGCAATTGCCAATCACCGGAGAGGCCCCACTCTCCACGCCGCACAGCGCTAGGCGGCCCCGCGCCCGCCCCTCCAGGCCTGCCGCGTTGCGCGCCGGCGGCTTGGAGCATGCAGATCCCTGCAGACGAGCGAGCCATGCGGGTGGCGAACTCCCCGCGGCACGTCGCGGCCACGGACGGCCCCGCTATGACAATGTGCGCGACCGGTGCTGTCGTGGACGTTTAGCGCTGGCGGGACGTTTCTGTGTCGCCTGGCCCGGCGGCCGCCCGGCAAATTGGACCTGCGCCTGACCCTGCGCCGCTGCACCCCGCAGGCTGAACATGTATATTCTGGATTACCTGAGAAAGAGGAATTTCCTGCGATCGGCGAGCGAATTCTCCGCCGAGGCGGGGCTGGATCTCTCGAAGCTAGGTGGGATGGCTTGCTCACGGCCCCTGCTGGGTTGACCCCGGGTTTTCTCGGCGGGCGTCGCTGTGTCAGATGGCGCCTGACTTTTTTGTGTGGCGTGCGCCCCAATGCTGGCCCTGCAGTTCCCCAGGGTCGAGGCCTCTGGGAGTGGTGGGAGAGCACCTTCGCCTCCAGGGCGCAGCCCTTGCCGGCGAGCAACTTGGTCGTGAGGGCCCACGCTCCGGAGGTGCGATTCCGCCGTTTCACCTGCGCTCGGCGCCTCGTCCGTCCGCAGGCCCTCAGAAGGGCCGTCCGAGTTGGAGGTTGCCTTCCACCCTTCCGTGTTTTTCTTGGCGGTTGCGGGAGTCGCCTTTGTGCGTCGGAGAACGTGGATCGTCACGCCTGGGACAGTCGGGAGGGGCCGTAGCTTTGTTTCATGGTCTTGGTTCGTTGACGCCTGGCGATCGATCCCGCCCGCCGCTCTTGACGTCAAGGTCCGTGCGGTGGCTGCGGCTGCGCCGCTCCGCCGTCTGTGGCGGTGGCTTGCTCAGCATCGCTGCCGCGATGCGGGCCTCGCGGGCCCGACCTGCGTGGCTGGCCTGGACGATCAGGAGTTTGTGGTCGCCGCGCTTCTTGACGGTCACACCCCGGCGCCGGCGTGCCTCACTGGCTGAGATGGCGATGTTGGGTCTGTGCTTGGATGCGACGGCCTTCTGCACGCCTTGGCAACTTGGTTCTTGACTCGGAAAGTGCTGAAGACCCCGTTGGCGGCCTTGTTTCTGCTACCGTGTTTGGGACATGAAAGGATTTGTGTGGCGTATGGCGCCTGCCACGCGGGCCACCCCACAGTCGGAAGCGGATCCCGGTTGCGACTCGGCTGCCGGTCGTTGCTGCGCGTGGCAAGGCCGTTTCGGACTCCAGAAGCGGCGGTAAGCCGAACAGGGTGTGTTCCTGAAAACGCATTTCGACCACGTGGGTTCGACCTGCAACGCAACCGGACCCGTTTAGAACTAACTGTCCCGGCTGCCGCGACCAGGCGGGCAGCGCTACTGCGTCCTAGCTGTGGCGATCATCCAACGCAGCGCTCGGCATTTCCGTCCTTGGTCCTCTGGTACTGCGGATGCTGCTCGCTGGGGCCACCGGCGAAGTGGTCCAGGAAATGGCGGCTTTCTGGTGGCGCGGCCCCAGGAGGTTTGTGGGCCTTCCACTCGCGTGCGGGGCTGTGGAATCGCAGCATTCCATTCCAACATTGGTGTGTTGGCGCCGCTAAGCGGCTTCAGGGCGGTTGTTGCCAAATATTTCGAGGCTCTGAGGTCGCAGCTTCGCCGTTGTCACCGTCTGACATCCGCAATCGCTGCTGCTCCAGGTATCCTCGATGGGCGCCGAGCGGGCTGCGGAATCTCCTGTTAGGACGATCATCCCCCAGCAACGGCACCAGTTACTCCAGCAGTTTATGCTGAAGCAGCAGGCCCAGGCTCAAGCGCGAGCGCAGCAGGCTCACGCCCAGCAGGCCCAGGCGCAAGTCCACGCTCAGGTCCAGGCTCACGCCCACGCTCAAGCGCAGGTCCAGGCCCAGCAAGGCTGCCCAGCTGCCCAGGCCAGCTTGGGGCAACAGCAGCATCAAGACTTCAGTGTCAGCCCTTGGGCTGCACAGCAACAACGCATCATTCAACAGGAACAGAGGTCAGAGCTGCTTAGGTTGCAAGGTGAGACTGGGGCATTGGCATGTGTTTTCTGCAGGAGCATGTCAGTGCCAAATGTGCATTGTGGAAGAGCTGTGACCAGAGCAATGGAGCTACACATTCAAACTGCATCTTATGGGCAATGTTGACTCAGTGTGTTGAGGAGAGTACGTTGATAGTGCCTTGGTGAGGTAGCACTCCTTGTTTTGCCTTCGTTTTCCTGACTGGTGGTGCATGGACTTTTGCCAAGGTGAAGGTGCCAGAAAGAACTCTGGTCTGTCTGCTGAGGTGGCTGATGGAATGGTCCGGGGAGCTGATGCATGGGTGTTGTCAAGCCTTAATGATCTTGAGGTGAGCAAGCACGGGAACGAATGTTGCACTGATGCTGGGATTGTTGGCCGCTGAGTTTGAAGAAGCTGGCACGTTAAAAAGTTGGTTGTGAGTGGAGAATGGTGAACTTGCCACATGCATAATTGAACAAGCGCAGGACCTGTCTCTGAGAATCCCTTTGTTGTGACAGCATCAGGCACAGGCAAAGCGTATGAAGTTCAATCACTATCTCGGTTCCAGCGTGGGAGGAGTGGCAGGCCTATCCCCAGGGGTTGCGATGCCTGCTGGCCAGCAACATCGAATGTACACGCAATTGGCTGGTCATGGTCTTGTCAGAGACAGAGTCCTGTCCGATAAGCCCGCATACCAAGGCTATGTCTCAAATGAAGCAGAACCGGTTCCCAAAGGTAGGATGGGAATACAGGCAGCAGGTCAGGCGTAGCTGGCCTAGGATAGTGCTAAGCAGTGGTGCTTGCTGGCAGTGGGAGTTGGTGCAGCTGAATATCCCCTGCTTCACTTTATTGCTTTGTTAAGTGGCCGGCCTTTGGCAGTTGCAATTGAACAAGCTGAGATTAGCAGTGCTCATCCTGGAGCTTGTCAGGTGGTCTTGTGCAGATCTGTCACTCATGTGCTGTGTGTCACTGAGGAATTGGCCTGTGTCTCACAGCTGGTTGCTGATTCACAAGAGTTTGTGAGAAACGGGTTCTAACAGAGACTTTGGTTGTCGTGTTGTGTCAGTACAGATGCAGAACATCTTGTAGCTGCCCTTTGCTTGGGTATTTGCAGGACAGCTTGCAGTCCACAGCTCCCATTGATAGCTCTGCAGTGCAACTCATATTGTCAGTCCTTTGAGTCTTGGCACACTTGGTTGTGATGTCTATAGCAGCACTCGTCTTGGTTAGTCCGATTGTAGACTGGCATAATGCCAAGGATTGTTATTTTGCTGCAAAGATGATCCAGTGGCCTTTTCTGGGGTGCTTTTGGGAATGTGCTTGACACTCTTATTTCAACATTAATTGGGTGGCCATCACACAACGGCTTCACCATGTGCCTTTGACAGGGCTGTTGCTGATGCAGTTGTTATGTCTTGCAGTGCCGGGACGATCATCACTTGAATCTTCAACAAACAGTGCAGGCTCAAATGTGCGGTTTATTCCTGTGGGTTCTGGTGGGCAGCCCCTGCTGAGCAACTCGCTGCCTAATGGTACGTCAGTGATGGCCTTTGTGGAAAACTCAAATGGGACCTCACAGCAGCACAACGTGTATTCACAGCTGGGCAGTCGGCAGATGGTGGCCAGCGGCGCTGCACAGCAATACCCCAGGCAACTTAGCTTGCTCCAGCAGCACCAAACGAGGGTTGCCATGCAACAACTGCAGCAGCAGCAGCAACAGCAACAGCAGCAACAACAGCAGCAGCAGCAACAACAGCAGCAACAGCAGCAGCAGCAGCAGCTTCAGCTTGCACAGCTGAGGCAGCCCAGGCAGTTTCCAGCTGGTGGCGCAGGAGCCGTAGTGGCTGCAGCTCAGCACAGAGCGGCATCTGGTGGTGCATCACAAACACCTGCCCAGACCCACCTGTCTCAGGCCACACTCGTTAAGCCTGCTTGTGGGCAGGGTATGGTTATGTCCCCTCAGCTGTCCGCCGTTGGAAGTTGTGGCAATGTGGGTGGTGTGGGCGCAGCGAAGCCTGACGATGCAGAGAGCTCCATGAACCGCAGACTGCCTACCAGGCCATCACAAGTGGCCATGAAAGACAGCGGCGCAGCCGGCGACTCTAACACTGCAGCCCGTGGGATGGTGGGGATATCAGCAATTCCGCCTTGTGCGCCAAACCATGATGCCGCGGCTGCGTCTGCCACGGGAAACAGCTGTTTACCCCTGAACTCGCCCCGTATTGTGGCACCGTCGCCGCAGGAGCACGTGGGCGGCACATTCCCATCAACAAACGGCAATTCGTCTAGTGTTGCGTCCACTGACGGACCAGGAGCATCGCAGAATGGGACACCAGAATCGAACAACCCCGTGGACAAGAACCTGTGCAGCCACGTGGGCTTGGATGTTGTGCCGGAGAATTCTGAGTATGGCATGGAAAAGGGCCTGGAACGGTGTTGTTTCGGGAGCGGGGATGGCAATGAGTTGGACAACGGCAGCGGAGCCTTGGATGTGGGGGCCAGTGACCCATACTTCTCCAGCGATATCCTTGGCCAGTACGAGTTTGTCTAAGGTACTGACATGTGCCGTGACCTTCACGCTAAACCAGCAGTGGGTTCGAGAGTCGGATGGACGACGCTGTGGTAGATTCGCAGGATGTGGAAAGCGATTTTGCAGTGTGGTAGTGGTGGAGATTCCCATAATTTCTTCGACTAGTGGGAGATTTGGATAGCTGTCCATAATGCCAGGAAGGCTGAGACAGCAGAAACCACTATGAATTCATCTGTAGAACCGTGGGGGTACGAAAATTGGGTAAGGAAGACCTGTCAGTTATGGGAAATGTGAGCGTCACATTACTGCACCCTTGCAGGCATCTCGATTAGAAGTATCTGTTCATTCTGTCCAATAAGGCGAATGGTATGGGTGGCATGGGGTGTTATTTGTGTTCGATGTCCTTAGTGTCCTGATGTTGCTGAGTCTCTTTTGATATGTATGTATGTATGCCTAGTTTGGTAGAGTCTCGCAGGGCATTTATTGGCCCTTGTTGGGAAATGGGGTTGAGGTTGGCAAGGTAATAAGCTCGCCGTCTTCTTTCGCTATTTGCAGCAATGTAATGTTGACCAGTGGGTAACGGCGTCCGCTGCCTGGAAACAGGCTGCCAGATTACGATATTTGTAGCAGGGGGCTGTTTTCTTTGTAAGAATTCCATATGGAGATTTAGCTATATGCCACTGTGATGCTGGGTATTCCCCTTCAGAGATTTGTACCATCATGATAGAAAAAATGCACCATGCACAGCTTTTCTCTTCACGGGAAGTTTGCTAAGTGGTGGTGTGTGGCATGAGCATATATCCTCACGGTTGCATGCAAACACGCCATTGCCGACTAAACAAAGGCGCTCTTATCGTTGGGTACGATTGGGACGTGTTTCTCCTGCCGACGGCCTGGTGTTCGGGGCCCCAATAATGAGGGCAATCTACCATAATGAAAGCAACCCCCTATTTCGCCAAGCTGGCGCCCCGTGAGGCCCAGAATGACAAAGTCAAGGTTCTCCAGTATGGTGGAGCCTTGGCCATTGGGGGACAGATCAACATTAAACAAGAATAGGATGAATGTACATCCAAAGGGAATTGGGATGCTCAGGCGACATGACAACGGCATACAACAAATGTGCACTGACTGGGCGACAACAACCGGGGAAAGCTAATGTAGCCCTGCACAACTAAGCATCCCACACGACGAAGCGGATCTGAAGCACCCTATTCCTGAGACGCCCGCATCTCCCCACGGCGGCGCCCGCCCCCGACTGGCCGGGGTGCATTGCGCCTTCACTCAGCGGGCATTGGCCCTGCCTCAGGGACTAGACAACAAGGGCTCTACAGTGCGCAACCTGAGCAATGCATAATGACGTGGCGGGCAGCTCCGATGAGAGCCATGGGGCTGCATGATGGGGACTCAGCCACATGGTGGTGAGAGCAGTCCGCGTGGGGTTGTCTCTCTCCTGCTGGGGGAAACCAACGGCATCCCCTAGGTCTTTGTTTCTGCCCAGGTGTTTTCCTGTCGGGGGGCCTTGCGAGTCAATGCCCCCCCGTCGTGAGGACATGAACTGGGACGGAGAACCGTGGAGGCCCGAACGTTCGACCTGAGCGGGGAGGGCCTGCCCCACCAAATCGAGCTGGTGGGTTTCTGCCTTTCTGCCTCATGTTGAAGGGAACCCCCCATCACGCGCACAATGACGGGCGATTCCCCTCCGGAGTCAGCCAGAGAAGCGGCGACCGCACATCGCCCCCTTTCGGCCTTCGTTCGCAGCCCGCGCTCGCTGCCGGAACCCGCAGTACCTCCGACTTGCAGCAGTCCCGTCCACGGTTCGCGATTCCTTCGACGCACCACGTAATGCGCCCCTGTACAATTGAAAGGTTCACGGAGGCAGTTGTGAATATACATTCGTACAAGATCCTTGATTGGTTCCTCAACAGGCAGGGGGACATCAAGGACGGCCAATTCGGGCAGCTGACAACGTCGCTACTCACCAATAGGGGCGTGAAGATCTCGAGCGCCTCAAGCAGATCAGGTGACGCTCATACACTCAAGGCAGTGTTGTGCAGTCCTCCAGTTGTTGAGGAAAGTTGGGCCACATGTATCTGTACGGTTGATAGTGCAGCAGGGTGAAAGTGGCACCTGCTTGATGGAACGCTGATCGCACTTTCATGGTTCACACACATCTGAACTTGCGTGTTACAGTCGGTATGTCAGATCCCTAGACCCCTAGTCTTTTGGTTGAGCTACCTTGTAAAGTAAGGGATTGCTCTACAAAATATGCCCGCAATCGCCAGCCTTTGATTTGGCACTTTCGGCGGTGGAACCCATACTTTTCCTCGCTGTTGGTACTAAAGCAACCGTTGTTGTCCATGCTCACCACTCTGACTATTTTATCCATGCTTGGTGGATTAAAGTGCTAGCTGTACTGCGGGAATCATCGCACCCTCCGCCATTACTGGGGCCGTCGGTTCGAGGGGCAGCACACAACGACCACAGACGTGGTCGAACTGTTGGCGAGGCAAAGAAGGAGGGAAAGAAATTTCAGGGAATTTATTACTAATTCAGGGAATTTGTTATTTATTATTTGGGGGCGGGATTGGATGCTAGCCAAGGCGGAATGCGTGGAATATCCCAAATGATTGTCATGGATGCGGAGCACTCCCCCAGACATCAAGCTTGTCGGCAGTGTATGCAACAACCATCTGTTGGTAACTCGATTTCTTACAATCCAAAACTTGCATGCGTGTCATGCTGGTGATGAAGATGTGCCAACGTTCTCGGGCAGTTGCAGGTTGACAAGGAAGACCTTGTCTGCATCCTTGCCATGCAGTTGTTTGCATCGCTTGACTGAGAATGCTGAGGACTTGGTCTTCAGAATTGGCTTTGACGATGTGGTATGGGTGCGGGGTGAACACAAAGGCAAGGAGCTACAGATGGAACATGGCGTTGCCTATTCAGCCAGATTGAGACAAGCGGTCTCGCAGGACATTCAAAAGCTGCCTACGAGAGAGAGAGAAGATGCTCAGAAAGTGATTACCGAAAGATACAAACCAGTTACACTGAATATTTTCACCCCGATTGGTTTCAGTGTTTCTGTAGGAAAAATCATCCATGCATTCAAGCGCAGCACACCTGATATGCTCATTCTGGCATATGACCAGAACGCCCTCATGATGGGCCACTAGTCAATGTCCTCCTGAAGCAGCAAAGAGTGCTGATCTTGATCCTTAGTTACTCTCCACAGTTTCTCTGCATATGCCCTGGTTCCTATCATTTGTGCAAATTGTTCATCATGAGTGATCACTATAAGCTGAAAATTCTCCTGTCGTCTTCTTGCTTCAATGATTAGCCGAAGGGCTTCTGCCAAACTTGCAGAATTAGCTGCATCGAGATTGGTGGTTGGCTCATCCAATGCAAGGATGCCACAATTGAGACAGAACGTCTCCGCAAGGGCCAGCCGGACAATGAGGCAGGCAAGCACCTTCTGTCCTGCGCTGCACCGACCCTTCATCTCCAACTCAGCGCCGTTTACGTACATGACCATTCTGCAAAACAAAAAACATGTGAGGCGCAGCGTTTATTTGAGGTCAATATGACTTCCACAATGCATTGCCACCAACTTGTAACATGCCCACAACCACGCACAAAATGACACTTGTTCCAATTGCAAATTCACTGCCACATTGTGCTAAAGTATTGCTGCTGCCAACACTGCAGTTTACAAGGAGCCAGCGTTACATTGGCAATCGCCATAACGTGGCACCAAAATTTTTGGATAGAGGCCAACCTACAATTCAGACATATGGGTTGAAGACATCGACACAGAAACGGCCACCACAGCCTTCCCTAGTTGGCATTGAAGACAAAACACAAGCGCACACTGGGAATCAAATTGTCATGGCACGCTGTTGGCAACTCAGACACATCCACCTACCCAACGGAATTACCTGTAGTTGTACGACCTGTGGCCTGGGCCTTCTGCATCAGCCTTTATCCATATGTAGTCAATATCCTGCCCACGGTACGTCTTCTGCCACAGTTCTTTTATGATCTTATTTATTTCAGACATCTTGGTGGTGTGGAAAGTCAGCAGAGCTTTCTCCAGAGCCTGCATTCAGCAAAAGAGAAAGAAAATATGGGCAATGTCACAGATCTGCGAGCACCCTATTGCATTGGAGCAACGCAAGTGATCTACGCACAACAGCCACATGTCCAACACCTCTTGTTCTCGCATCTCGCTCGCAAGCACAAATTCCCAGGGTAGGGGACTCAAACTGCCAGTCTACCTTGTGATACTTCTCCAAATCGCTGTTTGCCATGTCCATGGTCGCCACCTCGATCAAGTGTCTTCGGTATTTGGCATCAATTTCATGGAACTGTGGGGCAGCCAAATCATGCTTTGCCCTGTGCAGAGTTCACACGATTGCATGCATTTCAACCATGCACTATTGCATTCTTGCAAAAGATTTTCTGTCTTTGCTGGCTTATGCAGCTAGGCAGCCCAACATATATATGCAAGAAGCACACAAACAGTTGCTTTGTCACCAACACCACTGCCAGGGGCTGCCATTAATGGTGTCAAGAGTTGGTGCAGCTCAAGCCGGTGTAAGTCATACCTTTCCAGGCTTTGCTCAATCTGTCCAGCAGACCCTCGCATCATGTCATACTTGCTTTGCAATTCCCTGCGCTGCTGTTGGAAGCCCTCCAGTTCTTCGATGAGCTCTGTATGATTGCCAGACCCTGCCATCTGCTGCTCTAGACTGCCTATCCTGTCCACGATGGTAGCCTCCTCCTCTTTGCTCCTCCGCCAGTCCAGACAGTCCTGCACCTCACGCCTCAGGCTGTCAGCCTCCACCAGTTCTTGCTCTCTGGCCTTGCGCTGTTCGTCCCTCTGGCTGCAGGCAGCCCTTGTGGTTTCCATTCTTTCCTTAAGCTCCTCTAGGTTCCTGTTTGCTGCCATGAGTTCAGCCGCCTTCCCAGACGTGTTGTAGTCTTCTACAGTCTTGATCTTGCTAAGTAGTCTGTCACAGATGGTTCTTGCTTCCCTGACCTGCAGCATGGTGAGACAGCACCATGCCAATAGGCTCAAGTTAGTAACCACAAAGTCATGACCTTGCATTTCAGCACCCACACACAGTCATCCCCTGCAGAAAAAGCGCCTAATAACTGTTATCAGCTGGAACATGCAGACGAACATGGGGCTTGTTGCAAGGATCAAGAATTCTGTCCAGTCCCCTGTAATCCCCTTCCAGTGAATACCTGGCTATCAAACTGTATTTCATGTTCTGCAGCCTTTGTTCTGATGGCTTCCCTCTCCTTGACAAGCCCACTCCTTTGCTGCATGAGCCCCTCATGCTCCACTTTCCACGCCTGAATCTCAACACCAGCTTTGGAGATACTGCCCTCAAGATTGCACACCTGAGGGGCATCAGGTCAGAAGGGTTGCAGTGCTGCATCGCAGGGACATTGCCAGAGAAGAAATCCAATCACATGGCATGCTGTGCATGTGCCATGTGCTGTGCATGTTTCTGCTCCTCAAATACACTACAGGAGGTGCAGGGTGCGACCCACACAGTAGTCTGCACACTACCATAATGTGTCACTGCACCTGTTGTCATTGTTGCAATGCCACCAAGGAAACAATCAGCCAAAGTGCAGTGCTGTGACTGCTGGAATGTGGACAAACTGCACAGTCTAACCTGAGCCTTCAAGTCGTCCCGCCTCCTTTCTGTATTTTGGCACTTTGCAAGCTCTTCTTTTGCATCTCGATATTGATTGGACAGGGCCATGTGCTCATCCCTCAGCCTGTTGTGCTGCCGCATGATGCTGTCCTTCGCCCTTTCATGCTGCGCCCTCTGGGACTCGACAGCATCCAGCTCGGTGTCAACATCCCCCACTGTCCTAGAGGACGAGTGGGCCATGGCTTGGCTCTCCAGCTGGGCAAGTTCCTGCCGCCGGTTTTGCACCTCCTTGTGCAAACTGATCACCAGTCGTCAGCAACAGGTCATGGGAGCTTACAAAAGTACCTTAATATGTCATATCCATCTGCATCATAACTTAACGTTTGGCCTTTTTGCAGAGCAACGATAAACAGCATAACGGTGTCGAAAATTAATGCGGAGCAGCCAAAACACAATACTCTAGAATAGCGCTAAGCACACCAATAAACTAGTACCAGGACATGGGGAATGTACTGCAGCTAAGCGCTCTTTGGGCCCCCTGCTTGGATCGCATGGCACACACACGCACATGGGACCCTGTGGACTGGTCAGCTGCACTTGATATCCAGCCAGCAGGCTGGCAAACTGTATCGCCCAACCTTCGACCGCCAGACACGATGTGCAGCAGAAAGAAAACAATTACCACTCTGAAAGAAAAGTGCAGAGCAAAATCCCAATGCTGAAAATTTTGGTGTGAAATCGCTCGGTATACTACAGTATGTCAGATTCGAAATCCTGTGAACCCAGTCAATGATGCTTGAGATTTTCCTGCCTTGTGATCAACCCACACATTTTTTGTGCGAGCAGTGCACAACAGTGGACATAGATTCTGACTGGACAAGTGCTGCATCGGAATGCACCATAGGTATGTGGGACAAAGAATCAGGTGCTTTCTCTCTTGCTGTCTTACCTGTCGATCGGCCACACTGCTGCCCTGATGAGATCTTCAGCCATCCCAACTTCATGCTTTGCAAGTGCAACCAAGGCCTCCAAATCCTCCACCTGCTCAGACACGACAACTGGTCTCCTCTGCTTGCACAGTTGATGTACCCCAGGGATCACACATGAACTTGACATCACTGGGCCTTTTGACACAACGCTGTCATATGTACACCTCTATGAGCAAGTAGCAAGCTATCACTGCTATTGTCATTGCATCCAGGATACACAAACACGAATTCAGCCATTGGTACTCTGAGAAAACGCCTGCTTCCAACCCATGCTGTTGAGGCAAACGTATCAGGAGCCAACCTCATTCTGTTGTGTACTGAGTTCTTGCTCCAGAGTGGTCACTTTTGCCCTTTGCTGTGGAACGCTCTTGTCCCGAAGGTCAGAGAATCGAATCCACAGTGGTTGCAGCCCTTTGAGTGTCGTCATCTTATTTTGGAGCTCCTGCAAATGCGACTCGTCCTCCTTGGTTTCTTCTGGCAAGCTCTGAAGGCACCAATCACAAAGTGTTATGGCACTGTTTATACTTCTGCACTATTCAACAGAAATCATGGCGTTATGAACACTGTAGAATTTTCAACACTTGAGAATGAATGGAATGGCTTGCTGCATAGTTTCAATAAGCAAAAAACCCTGTCATACACACTGTATTGAAACTTTCCTACCAGGTGACATATGTTTGGATGCATGTCTTCCACAAATGCCACATGCCATTCACTTTGGGACCTGCAACCCTGGCAGGTGTGGAGCACAAGGCACTCAGCTGTCTGACCGAATTGAGAAAACGTTTGAAAACTGATAAAACATCGTTCCCTGACACAAATCCTTGCTGGTGCCAGCAAATTATTGCTTTCATCCTCACTATTTCCAGCCCTGGCCACATCCTGATCCTCACAATTCTGGGCTGCATGTCGATTTTGTGACCACATCGTAATACAGCTGCCAATGTTCCTCTATGTGCACAACAACGGCATGCATTCTGCAATTTATGACGGCTGCAAGCACACAACTCTTGCATTTGCAAGTGTTTTAGTAGGCAATCGCAATTGTCTTGGGCACAATGAATTGAGTACACAACAATTGATTTCCCAACAAGCTGCGATGCATTGTTTCACTGCAAATGAAATAGCACAAAAGGAGCGCCAGCCTTCAACAATCTGGCATACTGCACCAACTTAAAAAAGGTTTGCAAGCAGCAACAAAATGCAAACTTGTCAAGAAACAACTGGTCCCAAATTGGAGAAATACACTCCATCATGCAGGCTTAGTACTGCCAAGTCATATGCATGGCTGTGCACAATTCATGTGCCCAAATTGTTTAACTTCTGTAGCAGGTAGCTGGGTCGTGGAACGATGTCACGAGTGAAAGCCACCATGAATCCAGCCACACCTGGAGTTCTTTGGTCTTTTCCATGAGAAATTTACTTTTCTCTTCATCGCCAAGGAAATCCCTTCCACACAAGGGGCACAGGCTTGCTCGATCCGCCATTTTGACGTAGGTCTTTAGCATCTTGATGCTGGCATGTTTCAAAGACACTCTGCTCATCAGCTTCTGAGAACTCTGCATCCAACAACAAAAGGCTAGTGTTTGTCTTCAGCACCAAGGACAGCAATGTGCAGAGGAGCACGATGGACAACACATTTCACATTGCAGTACAATGTAGGAAGCAGGGTCCATGGCAGGTAACCAGTATACCCATGGAATCTGTCATCAGCATGCTGTCATTGCAGCGGCAAGGAGTGCACAGAACATTGAACAGCAGTGTGCCACCAGCCTTCCAATGTGCCACACAGATCATTTGTGCTGTGTTCAACTTACCTCTTCATGCTCCACAAGATTTGCTTGATATTGGTCCTCTGCACATTGCTGCCCCAGGCACACTGCCATTCCAGCTCTTAAGTCTCTTCGGGCATCAGACAACTGTGTCTCATACAGCTGCAACTGCTGACGATCTGTGCTCAACATGCCCTGAGACAAAGCAATTCACACTGTCAGGGAGTTGCTTCACTGCACATCCCAGAATGCTGTCAGCAGAAAACAGCAGCAACCCTGTGTTTCTCGGACTGCACAGGTAGTTACTGATGAGGATGGAAGGTTTCTACATGACTAATACCTCTTTTCCAGTCTTAGGACATACAGCAGGAATCCCTGCACCTCTATAGCTATTGTGCAAATGCAGATCAAGCACTCAAGAACAAGGTCTGCTTCCAATGCCAACTACATGCATTACGACTACATCGCAACATGTGTGGCCATGCAACAAACACACTGTTCAATAGTTGTCCTCTAACATGGGTACAATAGCAGAGCAGGGTACTCAACCTGCAGTACCTGCAACTGTGACTCCTTTGCTTGGCGCTTCTGCAACTGTACAGACTTGGATTCAAATTCTGCTTGGCAAGAGCGGAGAGCTTCCCCAGAAGCATCTCGCAGGGTCGACACCTCCAGTCCTGTGGACAGCCAGTGTTGCAATTCAACAATATCCAGTGCACAATGTTCCCCTCTTGTGCCACATTCCAGTCTGCACAGCTCAACTCATGCACTTTCAAACTTTGCAGCAGTCCCCACCATTGCCCACAAGCTGCTCCAGTCTCCTCTTGTGAGTGGAGACCATGCTATTCAGCTGCTCCTCTTTCACTAAGAGTTCCTGCTTCTTCACCCTTCTTCGAGTTTGCATCTCTGATACAGCTGAGAGTTTGTCACGCTCCTGTGCAACAACAGGTTGTGCATTATTCCACGGTGCGCCAATGAATATCGTTGGGAGTGGCACGCCAAGCTGAGTAACAGGACGATTGAAAGAAACAAGTTTATGCAATAGCAACAGAGCACCCATCAATGGATTGGCCTATTATTGGAATGTGTAGAAACAAAAGTCAGTTTTGAAAATACAATACATTGTCTAATCTTGCTGCAGTCAATTGGTCTTACAGCAATCCTAGCACAGTGCAGCACCTGGGTTCACTAGTTCTGATGAAAGCTGCGGTACATGCCTGTCTCAAAGCAGTTGCCTGCCTTTGCAGGTCATCGATCTCTGATGTCTCTTTCTGCAGCGCGTCCCCAAGATTCCGGTTCTCTTGTTCCTTCTTGTTGGCCTCCAAACGTGCCAAGGCTTGCTGCTGCTGTTCGCACACTTCCTCCATCATGGCTTTGCTTACAACGCACTCACTGATCTGTCAACAAAGTCCACATATACGGAACGTCACATAAAGAGGAATTCCTCTTCCTTACTTTCTCCTACAAATAAATGCTTAGGTTGCTCAATAACCCACCTATCCAAGCAAGGGAATTTCCAAACCTGCCGAACCCACTGCCCAGCAGAATCACTCCTAGTCCCACCCGCAAATGTCCAAAAACTGATAAATGCATTTGGCAGGAAGAAGGAATGCAGCCCATCACATATTCAATCACTCAGGACCAATGCCACTGATCAATTCCACATCTGCCATTCTCAGTCGAGTCGATCCATTTCCAGCTAATATTGACACACCTACAGCATGACACAGGTGCAACAATAAGCAAGATGATACACAGATACATTGATCCACCGCTACACACCTGTCCCTGCAGCTTCTGCACAGCAGTCTCATTTTCCTTGATCACACGCTCCCGCATGCGTATTTTCTCTATGGTTCCTGATATCTGGGAATTCATGGTGTCAATTGCCTGGCTCATATTGTTGTCTTTCATCCTGTGCAGTACACCAGAGATCAGTGCCACAACCATAACTCCACAATTGGCTTTTGACGGGTCAAATCCAACACATCAGCAGGCTGCAGTGCATGAACATATATAGACACTACTTTTTAGCATACTGTTCAGTTGCACTGTTTTTGTTTCATCTTTGCCAACACACTCTCCGCCGAGTATGGCTCTACCCTTTGTGTTGTCGATTGTAAACATGCTGCATTCCCATTCAGATTCGATGTGCAAGCAGCTGTAATTCATTTCAGGTAGGCACTCCTGAGCGGGTTTGTTGCTTTCGATGCAGGCATCCTGCTTTCCATCCCTTGCCTGTCGATGATGGAACAGGCGCTACTGGCGCTATTGGTGACATGGATGCAGTGCTCATATGTATGATCTGCTTCAGAGCTCTTAAAATGCATTTTCAGGTATACGCGCGCTGCAATACACTCGGAGGGTTCTTGCCATATGCCATTGTAAATTGCTGTATTGTGGGATTGGCCACTTTCCCGAGCTGATGAGCTGCCCCACGTGTGATCCATGTTGTAACCCGAATTACAACCACACAGCAAAAGCAAATGCAGCACCTTGCCGCTGCCTTGTGTTGCTCCAAGGTTGTCTCCACATCCATCCTTTTCTTTTCCGCAGCTTGCAGGAAACTCTCCACCACTGGCTGAGAGAAAGCCTCCAGTCCACTGTCTGCACACAACAGCCCATGTGCCTTTGCGCTTGCCAGATGGCCACACTCCTGCTGAAGAAAGTATGTTTTCTTGCCCAGTCTTTGTGGGAAACTCCAGCCCTTTCTTAGAACTTTAGGGAAGGGGCACTGTAACCATCATAAAAAACTTGGGGAGTCAAACAGAAAGACTGGTTGATTTCTTGGATGCCACTGCTGATCAGTTGAAAGCACAACCAAAATGAACGCCATGCAAACATCTTCACCAGCCACAGGCTGCAGGAGCCGCAGTCTCTCTTGGGACGCACCTGGCAAGGTCATGATGCCTGTCTCTACTGCAGTTTGTCTAATGAAAGCATCGCGGTCTTTCAGACTGTTTTGGTGGGCCTCTGCCTCAGCAGCCAGACGACCTTGGCGTTTGCACTCCTGTCAGCAAATTGCAACTGGGAAACTATTGTGAGAATGCAATAGTAGTGAAGTGCAGTTCATCAGGTAAACAGACGTAATGCAGAAGAAACAGATTGAGTGATGTCAGCAGGTCTTGTGTCACAGAGAACACAGACAATCGGAGAGAATTGTAGTTCACTTGGGAACTGCACGAAAGCCTCGATGTCTTGTGCCAAGCTGCTCGTGTAGCTGTTATACCTTTAGACCAACATTGCATCAGCCTTTAGATGTGTCCAATCATAAAATGAATTGTCACCAATCATCCCATTATCTATTGCTTGAACCCCCTGCTGGCTTCTGTACATTGCCAAAGTCAAATAGCAAGCAACCCACTGCTGTCTACACAACTGGTCCCTTTATGACATAATGACAGCTGCCCACTTCATTTCTGTACCGCTTGCATACCTTGGCATATTGTTCTTTGATGGCTTCGCTCGCCAAATTCGAGCTATTGACATCCCTTTCCAGTTGGCCAATCTCGACCCTCAACTGGCCTATCTTGTCATCAAATTTGTGAACCCATTCCTGCAGCTGCTTGGTATCTTCTTCAAGATCGCCTCTCTGAAATGCCACAACGCCCACTTTCATTTTCTAACCCCCCACTGAAACCAAAAGTACCAAGCAACAGCTCTGAATTGTGCCACAATTGCTGCCAATGTCCAGTTGCAAGTTTCACACACATCTCTAAGAACTGCAGCCCAGAGCTTAAACAACAAGCACCCTCCTGCAATAATTCAAGCAAGGCCTGCTGGGGCAACCCCTTTGATAAGAATCCAGTACCTTGAGTTTTGCCAGCATCTCTGCATTGTGCTTTTCCATTGTAGACAAACCTGATCTCAATCTGACAACCTGGTCACCCAAATCTGCTATCACTGCAAGTTTTCGATCCACAGCATCAATCTGCTTGCAAAGAGCCTGCATGCAGAAACACATAATGCAACTGTGTTCAAGATGTCACTCAGAAAATGCAACAAGCAATGGAAAGCACACTGCTCTTTCAAACAAAGACAACTCGATCGAAGAAACCTGCTAAAAAGTACACATCACTTGTACACATCGCCCACAATTCCGATATGCTCCCCACCTCAAGATAGGAACAAGACAATGCACTACTTTCATGCACAGCCATGACTGGGCCATGGCCCCTGGTACCGTAGGCTTGTGGATTTGTGAATATCGGCAACGCCAGATGAATACCTGCCCCATTTTGTGCACCATGACAGCAAACAATATGTTGTCAGGTACAACATACTGAGAGCTCAGAAATTGCCCTACAATCACAATGCAAAGAGACAGAATGTGTTGTGCTGCATGCACACATGCACACTGTTGGGGTGGGGACAAACACTGGTTTCGGGTTCATGACGGATATGGTTCTTCATACGGTTACCTGCTGCTATGATGATATAATGTGACGTGTTCCTTTTTCCATTCTGTGGACATCCTCGGAGTGCATGTTTGTGTTTTCAGGCATGTTCATGTTTCAATTTCATTCTTGCCGTCGGTGCCCCTTTGGCACTGCAAAGGGGAAAAGGGTCCACCTTATTCTGTTAAGATGGGGGTGCTCTCTTGTATGGCCTGTGGTTTCATGGGATTGTAGCACATTTTGACACACACATGCACATCACCAGACAAAATATTGCATATCATTTTCAGCTGCCAGACCATCGTGATGTGTCTTGCTCTCCTGAAAACCTCTCTGCAAACCTGAATTTGTTCGTCAATGCCTTTCATGTCAGCTTCCAGATGTCCCAACTTGGCTTTGGAGTCATCTATCTCTGCTTTCAATTTCTTTGAGGTGTCCTTGTGTGTCTTAAGGTGTTCAACCTTTAGCTTCAATTCTTTCACCTCCTGCACTTTCTCAGTGCGCAGTTTCCGTAGAGCTTCAAGAGCCTGAGGGAGACATCAGCAAGCTGTTGGTACTGCGCTTGATGGGCCGTGAGCTGCAGATAGCACGCAACTATCATGAACAAAGATGTTTGGGCTGAAGAGCACAAAACCCTTACACACAGACAACAATGAGCTCCCTTCTTAACAATCTGCAGCTTATGCGTTTGTGCCACCATTTCTATGGGCAGTCAGTCACTGCTGCTTGGAGCTCTCATGGCTGCTCATCAGGCAAGGTCAAAAGTTTTGCATGCGACCACGCACCCTGCACAGCTGCTGCAAATGACCGCATCCATGCAATAGTCATGTACACAAAAATATGTGCAGTTCAGGGCCGCTAAGCAACAGATGCAGTCGACAGCAGACAATTTCTGTGAATGCAAAGTTCCAAACTTTTATGGCAAGCCAGAAATAAATGTTTCTCACAATCGTCCGGCACCAAGTACTGAAGCAAGTGGGTACCGTACTACTTGGGGAGATTCATGGCACTGTAGGATATCCGATTGCGAAGGACTAAGCAGCAAATGCTGATGATTCAGGCTGCAATTCACCAATGGCACAACAGCAACGCCCTTGACTGAGCCCTAAAACCTGGCAAGCCAAAAATCTCCACGATCAAGGCACACATTTCATATCTATTTGATGCTCGCCTCCACCTGAGCTGAGTGTCTGATCTCAGGTATTGCACACCTTGTATGTGCAGGTCTGCTAAAATCTCACCTTTGTATATTTCGTTGCAGCAAACAAGTCATCGAACTTCCTTTTGAGTGTCTGTGTGTCATCCATGGGCCAATTGGATTCTTCTTGATGCACAAAAATCACATTGTCCAACACAGCCTGCAACAGCAAATCTGCACGTCTGAATGACCCTGTATGTGAGGATTGCACTTCCTTGCAAAGAAACAGTAGAATATGGAAAATCTGTTCTGCCTCTGAAAATTCAACAGGAAAATGTGAGACAATGAAATACCACAATAGCAATGCACTTGACATCCTCCACATACATGCAGACGTAGAACCACCAAAGAGCTGGTAAAGCATCATGTCTGTCAGCAGCACCAAAATCGTTCTGTGCACCAGCCAGACTCAAAGACACAAAGAGCATACTTGCCTTTGAAACACCCATCAACGAGGGGACAGTTCTGTCGATGTCTGCACATCGATATGTCAGCGCCTGTTTCTGTCCTGTTTCCTTGTTGAATGTTTGCAGTACTTGATCCAATGCCTTGTATTGCATGGACGATTTCTTCTGAGTGAGCTGTTGATGAATCCACAACAAATGGTGGGAATGTCAGCAAGGCTTCACACATTCGAAAGACGCGCTTCTCCACAGCATCTACTCCACTCTTCATCGAAACTGCCAGAAGCAAGTGATGAACAGCTGCTGTACAAATTGGGTCCAGTTCTCTTCAGCTGTCAAAGACCAAGCATTTGGCCTGCCATGAATATGCCACCAGAATATGCAGTACGGTTTGAAGTCAGGAGACTGCACCTGCATTCAGGAGGGCCCTGGACAGCACAGTCACCTGAAAGGAGCGAATGATCACCACAGGTTGGCCTGTGTTTGTGTGGAATCGTAGCTTGATCTGTGCCTTCACCTCCGTCTCGCCTGCTATCTGCTAGACATGCCCAGTTGTGTTACAGCAGTTTCATCCGTAGCTACATGTTTTGCCTCCTACTACCTCTGTCTCAAAAGTCACGTCCGATTTCCAATGTGCACAAATGGACTTCAAACATATGAGTGAGAAAAATTGATTGAAACTAACTTTGAAGCGCCACTCAGGAGCTATCCATAGAGCCCTCAAGCTTTCCAAATGGCACCGTCGTTCTTGTGATATGCCAAGAGGAGCTAAACTGCGATTTTAGATTTGTTGGGGCATTGGAGGGGCACAGCATGCTTGCCTTGCCCTTTGAAATATATGGACCAAGCTGAGCTATCACCAGGAGAGGAGTGTGTTTTGGTGGTTTAGTGTGCATTGAAGATCTGGCTAGATCCCAAACAGAATTTGCATAGAAAAAATTGACTGAAACAACCTTGAAGTACCATATCAAGAGCTATCCACAGAGCCATCCTAAACAGAGCTTGCAAGGAAAAATTGACTAAAACAAACTTGAAGCGCCATATCAAGAGCTATCCATAGAGGCCTAAAGCTTTCAAAACAGCATTGTTGTTCTTGTGATGTGTCCAGAGGAGCTGAAATGCAACTTTAGATTTTGTTGGGGCATTGGGAGGGGTACACCGTGCTTGCCTTGCCCTTAGAAAGATATGGATCAATATGAGCTGTCACTAGGAAAGGGGGTAGTGATTTGGTGGTTTAGTGTGCATTGAAGATGTGGCTTGATCCCAAACAGAATTCGCAGGGAACAGGATCGGAGTCTGCAGCAAGCTTTGGTGTGTCAACCAGAACTGTGCGCAAGTGGTGGTCAAAAGCCAAGAGACACCTTGATCAGTGCAAGAGCACGTATCTTGCGGATTGGCCAAGGTTTTGGAAGGCCTTACATACTTACATCAAGCAAGAAAATGCCTCAGATTGAGGCAAACACGCCCAGTCGTTGAAAGCCAGCATATTGGGAACATGGTTAAGTATACTGGAAGAGACGATCCCAAAATGCATGTTAGTAATGACTTTGAAACTCTCAAAAGGATGCAGCGGGGCCTAGTTGTTGTCTACAGGTTCTATAAAATTTTGGATAATGGGTTGGGACATACCAAAATAAGGCCCATGCAACAATGCGGGGAAATGAGGGCCTGCATGGAAGTTGACAGGGGCATGTTGATAGGGCTGTTAATGCCGTGTTGTATGGCAATGATTAATAGAACAAAGATCCACATCAACCTAGAATCAAACAAAAATTCCCAATATGGTGATGGATTGACGGATTGAGTTGATCTTGCATAGTTGTAGCAAGAATTGGAGATCATACACGACTTTTGCGATGGAGGTAGTATATGCAACGTGCAGCAAGTAGTGGCTATCATTGGCATAGACACCTCAGATGAAAACCCCAGGAATGCTGACCTTACATGGGAACATAATGGTGGCTGGCTTGGCACCTTGAAGCACGAACAGAAGAATGGCAAGAAGCTGTTTTATCAGTTGATCAAAAGGCCTGGAATGGGCTGGTCTGCATCTGCACTCAGCAGTCTGTGACTCAGGCATACAAGCCGATCAACAAGCCCATCGAAACAAATCTTTCCAGAAGCACTCAAAACAGGAACGTTAAACACACAAGGATCCATTATTGTTTCTGCTCTGTAATTCCATTTCGCCGCCCACACAAGTGGATGCCTGTCGTTTCCGACCAATTGCTTTCGTCAAAACCAGTTGCGTCTCCAGGAGCTCGCAATTTAAAGTATCACCGGTAGCTGATGATGAACTTCTGCTAGTTGACGCTGTTCTCACCTTGGGATCGTGTACGAAGCTCTGGCCGGAGCGGGTATTGGGCGGCAAATTCCCAGCGCAGGCCATCTTCAGGCATTCTATGATCGTCTGAAAACCACATTGGCAAGGGGGCGGTCAACGATCGCATGTATCTAGGAAAGCGAGCTGTAAGAGCATGTGCAGTTCCATGCGCAAAACCGTACCGTCTTCCCTGCACCGTTTTGCCCGACGATCAGAGTGAGGGGCTTGTAGAACTCGACAACATTTTGGTTGTCTGGGCTGAAGCTCCTGATCCCTTTTATCAACATCTGCGCAGTAGGGCACAAGGTTGACCCCCCTAGACCTTGAATGAGGAAGAACAGCTACTAGGGCTGCGGGGATGAAGCAGACGCTGGCGACTCGCCTTGTCCACGGTGCACATTTTGACAAAGGGCGTGGCGAACTCTTTGCGGGCGAAATAGTGTCACAGGCAGCCCATGCACCGCGCGCTGCACTGGCTAACAGCTCGAGAAAGGACGTATGCGCGCCGACTGCCAACACGGCACGACGCCCACCCCAGGTGGCCAGTGTGGCCGGCAGCCGCTGGGAGAGCGCCAAAAGGTGGCAACACAACCTTCAGCAAAGCTCCACTTCGACCATTACGCCACCGAAGTCTTAGTCACAATGCACCGTAGTTTTCGTGAGATCGATGGCCCCAGTGCCTGCTGATGGAGTTGTCTTGGCCTGCAGGCCCTGACTGACAAGTTGCAGAATACGCCGATGCTCCACAAAGCACACTGCGGCCACCGGAGCGTGTTTGCATTCAAGGCCAGAGCGACCGGGGCTCAGCCCGAAAATAGTGCCGCTCCAGCCATTTCTTCTGGTGGTGCGCCGACTTGGGATGCATAATGTGGGGCGTGGCGTCCAGCGGGCGATGAAGACCTGCTTGCGCCCGGTGTGTTTGATGGAAATTGCTCGCAGGTGGTTTCTGCATTGACGGTCCCTGCCTCTCATCGAAAGTCGCACAGCGCTTTGCTTTGGTAGGAGGCGTCTGCAAATGCATTTTGCTTCAGATCTCTGGTCAGTACCTGCAGAGATCAAGATCAATGGGGATCAGGAGTTGGTCGACGACTGGATAGCGTGCTGCACTGTGTGGTGCCCGTGGTTTCCCTGTATCTGTCCATGTCTGAGCAAATGAGGATGCTGAATTGATCAACCCCCGACGCCCCTTTGGATCCTTGTTGCAACTCGTCAAGCCTGTGAACCTGGAAGGGCGATCAGCCGATCAAGGATAAGGCCTCATACCTGTACCCAAAGCCACCCCTAGGCATATGTGATGTGCGCAGCTGTAGGGCTTCGCCTACGAAGTCACTCGAGGTTTTGCTGCGAAAGATGTGCGTTTCGGCGTTGAGTGCAGAACGGGAATTGTGTTGACAAGTTGACAAGTTGGCGGACGCGGTGGAAGTAACTTTGGGGCCCAAGGCAAGTTCCTGCTTCGCGAACTGATGATTGACAGCGCGTTGCAGCTCGACCTGCATGAATTCAATTAAACGACAATTTTGACTGCAAGTCAATGGTTCTTTCTGCAATCATATTGCTGAATTGTTGGGCATGCGCAGATGGTGGGATTCGGATGTCCGTTCCCTCACACTGTGTTTTTGCATAGGGCCGGCATGTGATGATCGAGCAGCCGTATGGTGCACCCAAAATCACAAAGGATGGTGTGACGGTTGCAAAGGCACTTGAATTCAAAGACAAATGCCAAAATGTGGGAGCCAGTCTTGTCCAGCAGGTGGCATCAGCGACCAATGATATTGCTGGAGATGGTGAGCTTTCGAAAGGCACATCATTGGGTATCACCATGCACCTGTCCAAATTGGACAATTTTCCAGTGCACGTACTGTCCTGAGGATATAGGGTTGCAAGGACCATTGCATCCGCTTGTGCTTGGGCCGTTATCTCTCCTTTCTCTGTTTTGGCTGGTCAACTTGTTTTCTGGCCACTGCAGCAAACATCAGTGAATTGCCAGAGAGTTTTGACTGTTCCACTATGTGCACACAAAGCCATCAATTGCTATTGCAGGCTATTACATTGTGCTATTGAAAACTATGTGTGCCTGACCAAGCATTCTTGCCTTGATGCTGGGCAGCAAAGACACTTGATGCTACTCTCACTTGAAGGGCCAATGTGTTAGCAAATGGTGGTATTCTCTTGGCTTGCCTTCTATGCACAAATATTCGTGTCAGCTCTGCTGCAGAGCCACAGAAAAGCAATTCCAACTGTGCCGTTCTTGTTGAGCCATTGTTCTGGAGCTCCAGTTGTGGTGCCCAAGATAGGAGTAACTGAAACTGCAGTGCAAGTTCCCATTCCCAACGTACGCTGCTGTACTGAGCACCTGAAACAGAACTAGCCATACTCAACAGTGAATTGAGCCGTTGCTTTTGGTGTTGGTGTTCAGGTTTCCCTGACATACTGGGATGATGCCTTGTCTGTTGAAAATCCAAAGGCAGATGCGCACCCAAATCTGTGAAGCTTGCACCAGTTAAGGCTCAATGCTGGGTCTGTCCACTGGGCCGCTTGGCTGTCAAACGAGTAGTACTTCCAAAAGTTTGTCTGCAGCCTTGCACCCCAGTGCACGGTGTAGGTGCACATCCAGGACTTTTCTCAAATCGACAGGCAGACCTCACAGCAGATGCCAATGTGTTTCTCTTTGTTCCTGGGAAACACACTTGGCATACAGTTTCTCCCAAGGAATGGCAGGCTGTCATCTCTGGGTTCTGGTGCACGATTTCTCACCAGTGGCAGTGACTTGGTTTGGGGTTTGACCTGCCATCTGTGAAAACCACCAGGTACTACCACAGCCACAGCCCTGGCAAGGGCTATATTGAAGGAGGGAATCTTGTCAGTGGCAGCAGGTATGAACCCCATGGATCTGTGGAGGGGCGTCCAGGCAGGGGTTGACCATGTGGTGAAACTGCTGGCCAAGCAGGCCAAAATGATAAGCACTGCAGAGGAAATAGCACAGGTGCGGGAAGAGCCCTGGTCCTGCTGCCGAGGAATTTCTTTTCTTGCTGGGTCCTTGTTTGGTATGTTCTCAAAGAGACGTGACAAATAAATTCTGCCTTTGCGCATGTGCCTTGTGCAAGGTTGCGTGCTTGTCACACGATTTTATTATCCTGACATAACAAACCAAAACAATGGTTCTGATGAATTGTGGCCCCGTGACAGACTTGCCATGCACCAAACGATTTCGCACAGACCTGAGGTATGCCCTCCTTACTGCCATGCAGGTTGCTACCATATCAGCAAACGGAGAGAAGGAAATTGGCGACCTGATGTCCAGGGCCATGGAAAGAGTTGGGAGGGATGGTGTCATCACTGTGACGGTATGCGTTTGTCCTTGGCAAGCCAGTGTGCCACAAACTGAATGTTGTGCTGGACTGCTTGTGGTTCTTGCAACAACACGTGATGGTATTCTGTGCAACTTGCTTGTTGTTGTGTCCCTCTTCTGGTGCTGGTGTAGCTGGCTTCAGAAAATGGGTAACCAGCTTTTCAGTTTTGTTGTACAGTCCATTCTGTGCACTGCTTTTTTCACTGCTTACTCCGTCACCTGATGCCATTGCAGGATGGTAAGACACTTGAGAATGAACTGGAGGTTGTTGAAGGAATGAAAGTCGACCGGGGCTACATATCACCGTACTTCGTCACTGACCAGAAGAACATGAAATGCGACTTTGAGGAAAGCTATATCCTCATTGTGGAGAAAAAGATATCAGGGTGAGAAGGACTCCGCAGAGACCACTTGCAATTGTAGTTGTCTGAAAAGCAAGCTTGACTTGCGAGTGCTTCCATGGGCATTCCTCACATTGGTTTTATACCTCCTGGAGAGGGTTACATGCATTGAAGATGCTGGGTCAGAACGAAATTCAACCAAAATGGACAACACAGGGATCTAATTCAATTTTGGCAGTGGAGCAGCAGCTGACAAGCGCTGTGTGCCAGAGAAACCGATGAAAAGTGGACAGCCCTTCCATGCACACACGATGCCCCTTTCTCCTGCCATTTGAGAAATCGACTGTTCAACATTTATGAGTGCTGTCATTACGACTTCAGGGTGAGCCCCTTACTGCCCTTGTTGGAGAAAGTGGTGGCCAAGCAACGCCCTCTTCTTATCATCGCAGAGGATGTCGAGAGTGAGGCCCTTGCAATGCTCATACTCAACAAACTGGGGCTGAAAGTGTGTGCAGTTAAAGCTCCTGGATTCGGAGACAACAGAAAGAAAAGCCTTCAAGACATCGCAACCCTCACTGGTGGACAGGTGTGTGAGCATGCACTGCTGATTGTTTAATTGTTGTTCCTGGATTGCAGGTTGCGCACAAGAGTATTTGTGGACTAGTGCATGTGCACATGTTCACAAATGTTAGCATTCACCTTGTTTGACGTTGGTCTGTGCTGATTATCCAGGTTGTGACAGAAGATCTTGGCCATAAATTGGAAAAAAATGAATTACAAATGCTGGGGCGCGCTAAAAAGGTGACAGCCACAAAAGATGACACCATCCTTCTGGATGGTGGTGGGGAGAAAAGCTCAATAAAGGCAGCTTGTGACCAACTCAGAGAAGAGATAAAGATTGCCACCAGTGACTATGACCGGTGAGTAGCATCGAATGCAGCCATTGCTTTTGATATTGAGAGTGATCTTACACAACGTCACAGTTTGTGTTGTTCCACAGCCAGTATCCTTGCATTCTGGCGTTGCTGAGCTGTTGGCCACGGAGCCAAATTGCAAGCAGTGAAAGGAGCCCTCCACCTTTGTGGGTTTGGGTGTTGGAACATGGTGTTTCTTGCAATAGCAATCTTGGAAAATGGACCTCAGAAGCGGCCCCCAATGCTCAGGCACAGGAGGCGTCCCTTGCATGGTGGAGCCAAAACGTCACTGCTGGAAAGCGGGCCATTTTGTGCTGGCATTTCATACAGCATTAGCACCTGCTGTGAGATAGCACCAGTGTCACAGCCCTGTTGGAGTCTGCTTTCATTGATTTTCACCAACAGAATGTATGTATCTGAAAGCGCAGCCTGACAAAGCTTGCATTACAATGTGGACAGGAGCAAACTTCAGGAGTGCCTGACAAAGCTTTCTGGCTGCGTTGCTGTTCTGAAGATTGGTGGTGCAAGTGAGGTGGAAGTCAGTGAGAAGAAGGACCGAGTGACTGATGCACTGAATGCGACCAAGGCAGCTGTTGAGGATGGCATTGTGCCAGGTGGCGGCATTGCCCTCTTGCATGCATCCAGCGCACTTGCCGAAGTGAAGTCCTCTCTCGAGACTTTCCACCAGCAACTGGGGTTGGGCATCGTTGAAAAGACACTGAAAGTGCCTGCAAAAACAATTGCAGACAATGCAGGTATGGGCTGTTGATTGTATCAAATTTCAGAATGTGTACTGCCAGCGGGAATGGGTTCCTTTCAGACTGCAAGCTGTCCATCTGCTTGTCCAGATTTTACTTAGCATACCAAAACGGGGTAAATTGGTTGGATTGCTGCTTAACTGATCAAGGTTTGTGCTGGGATAGCAGCCATATCGGAGACAGCGTCGGCAAGCTTCTTGCACATATGTTGCCAAGAGTGGGTTGTGGACAGTTTTGGTAGTGGATATTGGACAAATTCGACAGCCGACTCTTGGCATGAGTACATGGTTGGCAATAGCCCAAGCAGTCTGTCAGGACAATGCAAGCTCGATGGGTGTTGCTCCTGAGATGCAATGCAACTCCGTCTAACTCGTTGCTTCTGGGCAACTGCAGGAGTGGAGGGTTCAGTTGTTGTTGAGAAGATTCTTGAATCAGGCGACCCAAACTTTGGCTACGATGCAGCTGCGGACAGATACAGCGATCTGACAAAATGGGGGATCATTGACCCATTGAAGGTGGTTTGCACTGCTCTGGTCGATGCCGCCAGTGTAGCCAGTCTCATCACCACATCGGAGGCTGTGGTCGTGGAGGCACCTGAAGACAAGAAGTCTGCACCAGGTGGTGCGGGTGGCTACCCTGGGGGAATGAAAGACATGGACTATGCATTATGGCAGCAGCAACACACATGCTCTTGTGGGCATCAAAAATACACAATTGATGCTTTTCTTGGCTTTGCAGTTCGATTCATGGAATCACATAGCCAGGGGACCTAAATTACCGGACTGTTGGAAATGAAGGGCTGCCGTGATAGGGCCACTATTTTATTTCTTTGTTGTTGTCATTCTCTTGGTGCACATCCAGTGCGCAACAGCAATTATTGCTTTCCAAAACCTGTTCGGCAGCAGCGGGTGTGTATCTTCAAGATTCGCACATCTGCTTACTGCAGATGTTCCTGCATTGGAGCAGCATTGATGTTGGCCCTGTAGACTCCATGCATCACAGTCCTAAACCACGTGCAGATCAAGGAGAGACCCAGCATATTCCACGAAGTCGTTTTCCACTGCCAGGCCTGGAGCTGCATAGTACAACCAGCAGCACGAGTTCCATTTGCGTGCACTTTCGCATGACAATGTCATGCACAAACACGTGCAGGCCAGCAAAGTTTAGCATTGGAGCTATTATTGCAACCTGCAGGCTAATGATTAACCTCCGAAGCGATGCACAAACGAGACTTGCCACCTCAGTGGGCGCTTTGGTAATTTTGATGCAGGTGACAGGAGAAGGGTATATCGTCATCTGCAGCCGTATGATTCAACTCCTCATTGTACCACCACAATGACAGCAACTAACTCAACTTGCTAGATGTATACAAACGCATCTTCGACCGTGTACAAAGTGGCTGTCGCCATGAGTATCGAGCAGATATGTTCAACCTGAACTGTCCACTAATTATCTCATTCAATTTTTCTATGTAATTTACAATTTTCTGACAAACTTGCGAGCCTTTCGACAGCGCTTTTGTCTATGAAGAACGAGTTTGTCTCCCTAGCAGCCTGTACCTTTCACAAAGGATCCAGAAGGCGCAGCTACAATATGTACTCCATGTTTGCTAATATCTCGTGTTAGCAGCGGCAATTGTTTCTTTTCCACCTGGCCGGTCTCCTGAACCCTCCCGGTCATGTTTTCCACACGACAACACATTACAACAAAAGTGTCTGTCACCAATAGCTCCACATACCCGAGGTCCCCGTGCTTAACAGTTTGCCCTTTCGCTTCGCCCATACTTCACTTCACTTTTCTCCCGTGACTGGACCCTGAGTCAGCCCCCTTTCCCGTACTGCCATCCACACCTTCCCTAGATCTCCCACAACTCAACCGAACTCCACTCTCTAGGGCGGGAGGGCTGGGTGCGAAACAAGATAGGAGGGGGCCGAGGGGGGAGTCTAAATAGCCGCCCCCGCTCAGCCCCGCCAAAGCCCGCCAAGTCCAAGGGCGCCAAACTGACGGCACCTTGGAAACTACGTACTTTGACTGACCCAAGGTACTAGGAAGGGCCAGAAACCCGTTTCAATACAACTGCGACCGATTCGAATCTCGGCGCAGCCCACCCAACGTCGTCCTGGGTGGAAATATATCAACAAGATAGTTAAAATGCATTTCTAACCAGCGCCAATGTGTTTATCATCTTGCAACAAGCTGAGAATTTCATTCACAAATTGCCAAGCCATGCACTCACTTTTTGCAATCTTTCATGGTGTTTTTTTGCTTATTGGCAACGCTTAGGGGCTGTCCATACCAAATATCTGAATGGACTATAGTCCAGTATCACCCAATCAGTAATGATCAATGAAACATGCGAGTGGGAGCAAGATGGCCATCAATGAATCAAGCCATTACAGAGCTTTCACAGCTGTATCGAGAAAGCATAATAATGCAAAGCTGTGGACGTGCAGTGCCAAGCTGACGCAGCCAAATGCAACGAAATTGGCATATTATGTCCACAGTACGAGATGCGGCAGGTTTGGTGGGCCGCTGCCACTATGGCTGGAAGGTACCACGAGACCTTACTGCGATTGCACAAATGTCGATGCACTTCATTTCTAGACATGAAATCGTGAAGGTCATGAACGCCACGAAGGTCATCTTCGGATTCAGGGTCCTTAGGTTGTGTGTGGTTTTCTGGTCGCTAGTACACTTCATGTCGGACTATCCTCTGCGATTGGCGGATGTTCTCTGTGAGTTGTACCTCATGGCCACGAGCGTTTGCTTTGGTCACTAACTGTGCGAACAAAGACGTCATCTGTGTTTCACCTTGCCTTTGCAGTTGGGTGCCAGTCCACATGGGCTACATCTGGTGCTTGTCAACAGTGTGCCACAACTCTGTCCCGCTCAGCTCTCCTTGTTCTTCCTTTTTTATTTTCCCTTGTTTTGCCAAACACTGTAGCCCTCCTCTGGGTGTGCAGATGGTTCCAAAGTCACCCACAAATTTAATGCAATGTTGTTGCACCATTGCATTCAATTATGTGCTCCATCAAGTGCTTCATTTGCACTTTAGTTGTATTGCCATGTTTGGGATGTTCCACACCACGAAACGCGTGGAAAATGTTCGTCAAGCCAACCAAGTGCTTTATTGATTTGCTGCGCGGTACTGTGTAGAAAAAGCGTCCTGTTGACTGGCCACTATGCAGCAGATCGTGCACCATTCGGCAACAAATAGTTCGGCAAGTCTGCGGACAGGTTCCCTCTTTGAGATGGTGCCATCAGATATCACTTTTCAGACCCCTCCGTTGGCGATGCGTGCTGTGCCGAGAAGTAGGCACAGGCCTGGCCCAGAGCAGCAAAGCCCCGTTGTCTCTGCCTTGATACAACTTTTTTTTTCTCTGCCTTATGATTTCTTTTTCTGGGAAGCTTCGCTGTCGCCCTTTTCTTGGTGGAGTGGGCCAATTTCTTCTGGGGTTGATTCGTGCAATCTCGAGAGAAACGGTTCCTCAGAGCACACACTTGGAGGCTATCGTTCCGGGCTGCGGGCGACGCGACCTTGTGGAGTGGCAGGGACAGGTGGTACTGGTCGCCGCAGCTGATTGGGTTCCCGACCAAGGGGCAATCGGGCGTTCTCCGTCGCGGATTTCGACCCACTTGGCGAGTTAAGCCCTTGGCTGCGTCCACGGGCGACGAGAACATCTTTCGAAGAGTGAGCAGGGAAAGCTGTGCATTTTGGGGTGCTGTCAGTCCCTGGCGCACGGATGAGCGGTGGTGTGAGGAAACAGGTGTCCACAGGCGCAGCGCCCCTGACTGGCAGCGCGGTCAGGTCCCCCGGCCGCGGTCCAGGGATCTGCTTCCACCGCGCCGCGGCGCGCCTGGGCGCCTCGGGGCACGGGCTGCATCGTGTCCGCGGGTTCCGCATCGCCCAAGTCAAGGCCAGCGCCCTTGATGGCTCCGCGTTTGTGGGCACGGGCGCCGCGACAGTCTCGGATGTCGGCGAGGGTTTGGGCGATGTGGAGTGGCACCGCGACTTCAAGGACCGCTTCGTGGTGGGGGACGTGATCGGCGAGGGCCAGCAGGGCCTGGTACGGGAGGCGGTGAGCCGCGAGACGGGCCGCGTGGCGGCGGTGAAGGTGTTGGCGCGGGATGCCGGGGAGCACAGCCGGGCGGAGGAGAGCAAGGTGCGGTCGGAGGCCAGGTTCCTGCAGCGGTTGCAGAGCTGCCCGGCGGTGGCCAGGATGTTCGGCGCGTACGAGGACGACGAGCACGTGTACATCGTCATGGAGCAGATCGACGCCGGCAGCATGGGCGACGCGCTGGAGGAGGCGGGGCGGTTCACGGAGTGGGAGGCCGCGTACCTGATGCACGCGGTGTTCGGATTCCTGGCCCACAGCCACGACGAGGGGATCTTCTACGGTGAGTGTCGGGCCGTTCCGGACCTGGTCCGCGCGTCCCAGAAAAGGCCGAAGTGGCAAAATTGTGTGGACAGGGTGATTGCCAATTGCAGCATCTGGGGTTTTGATCGGCGCCCCTGTCGAAGGCGCATCAGGCGCGTGCGTCTCAGCGTCACCTGCGGTGGTCGGGTGTGAGTTGTGGATGCAGCCTTCGGGGCCTCTGATGTCCGCGTGTTTTTGTGCTGACTCGCCCATTCGCGCCTGTCATGTCTCTGCAGGCGACGTGAAGCCCGCCAACTTCATGCTCTGCACGGCACCCTGCCAAGACTGCGAGCGGCAGTGCACCTCTGGCAGGCTTCGAGGGCTGATTGTGAAGGCAATCGACTTTGGAACGTGCCAGCAGAGGATACCGGGCGTGCATTTCCGAAAGAGGGCGGGCAGTCCCATGTACATGGCACCAGAGGTATTCCTGGGCCGCTATGACGTGGAAGCCGACCTCTGGTCCGCGGGAGTGATGCTGTTTCAGCTCCTCAGCGGCAGGCTGCCCTTTGCAGAGTATGACGATGCGGGGGAGGTTGTCGATATTGGCATGCACCTGGGCTTTTCATTCGAGGGCACCGTCTGGGAGGGTGTGTCGTCGGAGGCCAAGGACCTGATCAGCAAGCTGCTGGTGAGGATTCCAAGGAAGCGAGTTTCGGCAAAGGCGGCGCTGGACCACAGCTGGTTCAAAAATACCCTTGAACACGTGGAACGAAGGAAGGCTGGAATGGAAGAATCCAGCATCGTGGCTGCGCCCGGCATCGTGGCAGCTGAGGCACGGTGCCTTTGAACGTGTGCAGCAACAACCTGGTTTTGGGAAGGGAGGTGTTCACAATCGCTGACGCAGTCGGATTTGTTGTTGGCGGTGCATTTTCTTGCTTCAGATTCTTTCTTTCAGCACCAAAGTATCTGTTGGATTTTTGGGAGTTGGCCTTGTGGATTGCCAAACCAAGATTTGGTGGCATGAGTTTGGGGTTGAATGAAGAAACTAGGGTGAGGCATGTGGTGGGGGAATATCAGAGTAGTGGAGTGCGTGTTTTCATGGGAGCAGAATTGCTTCAGCAGTTTTGCACCACGTCTATTTGTCACTAAGGGATAGTGGGGAGTTGTGGGAATTAGTCATGATGATTAGAACACATCACTTTCATCATTCCAAGGGATGGTTTCCTTGAGAGTCAATCATCGCTGTTTAGAATTCTTTGTGTTGGTATGGTGTCTGCTGCATGCAGGTACCTTGCCATCAATAACTGCTTTTGCTTCTACCTTTGGTGGGAACAGAAATTTGATTTTGGGGGCCAAGGGGATTGCGGTTAGGAGTATTACTCCTGGGATGCAATGAGGTGTTTGGAACAGAGGGACACAGAATTTTCGCAGCGATAGGAGTCTCAGCGAATTTGAATTGGCAATTAACGGCGATTCTCTGGTCGTCTGTGTGTTGATGGTGTCAATTTGTGGCGAAGAGGCACTCACAGGGAATGGCTGAGGCGAGATTGTCCGTGGATGCGGATGCATCACAAGGATTGAATGGTTGCGACTCTCACCCTGGCATGGATGTTGGTGTCTGTCCTCGGGGGTTGTTTCTCACATGATTTTCACACCAATTTTGGGGCTTCATCTCGTGTTGGCGCAGAATAAGGGCTTTTGGTTCTGCCAGGAACAAGTTTTGGAAGCCCAAATTGTCGTTTAGCAGTGGTGATTTCAAGAACGTTGGAGTCCCGGAGGGACCTAAATTATGGGATGGAGGTTTGGTTTGGTGAGCACGCATCAGCATAACTACGTGTGGAATCGCCCTTGGGGTGGGGTATCCTCTGCCCAGGTTTGTGGAAATGGGTTTGTTCATGAACAAGTCTGGTGGGTAATCTGGACACTGCGATATGGCTGCTGTGCAGCATGTACGCAAGCAACCAGAAGCTTGTAAGATGTGAGGTGCGAACTTGGTGTAAGCCTTTGGAACTAATGCGGATTGGCAGATCAGTTGTGGGGTGTTCAAAGAGGCACCCGTTGGGAGGGTGCAGTCTCCATAAACACAAGGTAGGTGCCGGTTCACCACTTCCAACGTTCATCACCAGCAGACTGGCACCGTCCAGTGAAGCAGCTCAAACCAGTGTGGATGCCGGTTGCACAAACTATGCCTCTCGTGTTCCTAGGTGCCGCTATAGCATTTGTCAACCTGAGGATGCCCTTCGTCACTGGGGTGCTGTCCTTCAGCCCAATGTGCCAATTGTGCTCTCCAAGCTTGTACAGAACGCAAGAATGATCTTCGGTGGCCATGAAAGATTGGAAGCCCATCCAAAATGTGAACATCGAGCTGCTCATTACCTAGCAAGGGGTGCCTCCCGACTTTTACCGTCTCACAAAATTCCCGGATAGTACCGAAAACTCCACCCTTGAGGATTTTGAACCCGTGACCCCGACTCGTATCGTAGACCCCATCCAGACACTACATGAGTAGAAGCCTTTTCCATGCTGTTTCCATGTTCATCAATTTCTGTCAACATTTTGTTTCACGGCATTCATACGAATGCCGTTGGCGTGCTGACCTGCCGCAGCAGGCGTCCGTGAATTAGCAGCACGAGTGGTCAGCTTTACGATGTGGACAACACACAAGATCAACACTGGGGTCACAATATTAAGGTCTGCAACGGTTGTTGAAGCCTTGAAATGTTGGCCATGGGGCCAGCTGTTTGTTGATCAGTTTGAGTGGGCTCTTGGGATGCACCAGGCATTCTGGACAGTACCGGCAAGAATGCCTGTTTCTGGAAGCGGGTCTCCAAGGCTGTTGGAGCCTCTTGTCCACTGACTGTATTGGAATTTGACCAGGAGGATAGTTTGCATATGTTTTTAAGAGAGTCAGGGTTTGGCCTTGGCGGGGAGCGTTGGTGTACATACTGGATCAGTGGGCAGCCTCACTATTTGAATGGTGCCCAAAGGCCGTTGCCTATCTTGTTTTGGTCATGCCCGCTTATCCCTTGGAGGGATCTCTTATTATCCAATAGAGACTGAATTCGGTTTAAGGCCAAAGTGAAGCACTAAGCACTGGATTTGTATTTTGAAGTGTTTAACGAAGTGATGGGCCAGCTGTGTGTGGCGATCGTGGGCAATGTAGAGAACCAACTTTGTTGAGAGTCTGTTAAATACACTTATGCCATCTGCGTGCCGCTGGAAGAACCAGGGAAGGATCCTGTCGAGTACATGTGCAGTTTACAGTTTCTAAGTTGTTGGGCTCCACCAGCAATGATGGTCTGTAGGATCTCTGGAAATGCACCACAGTAAAAGATGTAATAAAACGTCCGACGCAATTATCGCCACACCAGGAGTATGCACACCGAGTCCAACCCTGAGACATACCCTTTCAAGGGGGCCCTCTGACCCATAGCATGAGGGTCGTGTCGATTGAGTGTAGGCCACGAAGGCCTCGGACACAAGGCACTCTTGCTGAGGGCTGTCACAGGCTCCCACACGTTGCTCATGTAGAATGAGCCTTTATTCTTGCTTCACGGATTCGTTGTTACGCGCACCGGCCTGATGTAGGGGACGCCTTACTAATGGCTCTTGGTGTGGGGGATGCCCTGCCCAAGATACGATAACTATTCCTCATCCCATTGTAACCATTATAATTATTAGGATACGGGAGTAGGACGGGGTGGTCCCGCCTAGGTCCCCGTAAGGACCTAGGTGCCCGGCGAGGTGGGACTGCGGTTCAAAGAGGGCAGGAGCCCCACACCCACAACCTTTTCATATCATTTGGTTTCAGAGCCACCTGTGGGTGGCTACCACATCTTCGCCTGGGCGCGAGAGCAAGCACCAGGAACCGGGCTTCTTCCCCGGCCTCCTCGATGGAGGCTGAGGAAACAGACCTCGCAGCCCGAGAGGGCACGCCCGAATCCACGGGCGAAGAAGCACCCCAACAGGGGACCCCGGCAAGTTCGGCCGGTGAGAGAGCCGCAGCTTGAGAGGGCCAAGAGATGGAGGAAGTCCGACAGGACCCTACCGGCGCGTCGTCGGGTCAAGCTGGGCCGGAGGAGCACAACCACCCGATGGTCGAGACAGAGGAGACCCCAGAAGTGGAGGCGGCGGAACCGGGCACAATGGCCGCCCTCCTACAAGCGCCGAGAATAATGGAGCTTCTAGAGCAGATGGCTGTGACGGCGGCTACGCGGGCCCAAGAGACGCGGGACAGAGAAGCCACCGCCAGGATCGCCAAGTTGGAAATTGCGGCGGCCACGGCACAAAAGGAGGCCAGGCGGCACGAGGTCGCGTTGAAAAAGGCCAAGGAACAGAGCCACCAGGCTGATGAAGCCAAGGCATCCGCCGAGCAGCAGGTGGCCGCATTGAGCGACCGACTGCTGAAGCAGAAGATGCCGGCACGTGAGGCGGAGGAGAAAGTCGCGCAACAGACAAAACAACCCAAAAGGGTCCTCAGTCCGACACGACATCAGATGCCGATGATTCCAGAAGCGGAGGGCGACTGGAAGACAGTCAGCAAGCCCCGGGCTAAACAAAAGAGCCCGTCGCCAGTTGAGCCGGTGCAGAGAACTCGGGCAGCTTCAAGAACAGGCCGAAAGGCCCGGACCTCGGATCCAGTGAGAGAGATTGCAGGCCGAACGGCCAGGACCCCTGAGCAGCGGGTCAGGTCACAGGTGCACGTAAGGACACCTAGCGAACCAGAAAAGAGTAGCGAAGAGTCGCTCATGGAAAGCGCTCGCGCTGTATGCAAACCAAGTCTGGACAGGCTGAAAGGTCCAGATTGGAGTCCCCAAAGACCCGTATTGCCGGAGTGGGGACCAGGAGAAAGTTCCAAAGTGCTGGAGTTTATTCCAGATACTGGGGAACCATACAGCCGGCAGTCACCATGCCGAGCTAGGTGGACCAAGTTCCACAGTGATCGAATTGACAATCTGGATAAAGGCTGGAAAATGGCCGCTGAAAATTTTGGAGAAAGATTAACCACCGCGAGACTGGTGAGGATCCAGAGGTGGTATGGTTTTGGAATGGCAGATGAAATTGCCAAAGAGGATCCGAATTGGCCTGAAAAAATGGCCTTCGCACTCAGACATATCCCCGAGCCTTGGGATTTGAGCGAGGGAAGTCCGGAAAGACCGGATCCCAATGACCCCCACGAACGGTGGGATGAGATCTCCGAACTGTCATTTTCGTCATGCACTTCCCCGTTGCCGGGAGATATGTCGACACGGGCGCAAGTGCATAGACTGGAAAAAGGGAGACGACATATTCATAACTGGGATCGTTTTGCCCGCGCGAAGAAATTAGACGAGCAAAAAGCTCGGAAATCCAGTCAGCGCAGAGAGCTGAGAGCTTTACGGCGTGAGCGGGATCGATAGTTAAATCCCAAGAAATATGAGCGCAAACGAGCTCATAAATGCCAGCGCAAGGCTGAGATCAAGAGGTTCTTCTCCGCAGGCAGCAGCCAAAAGGCGCAAGGCCTTTAAGTGCAGAAAGGGGCTGACGAGCTGGAACTGGCCAACCAAGCTCAAGCTTTCGCTGAGCTTGAAAGGAGCTGACCTTGGTAAATAGCCAGATGGGCTGACGAATCGAGTGGAAGCGATAGTGGCGTGAACCGACCGGCTCGATTCGGCAGACAATAGCCTGACAAGGCATCGCCATCGCCCGAGGAGGCAAGACCCCCGGAGAAGGCAAAGCCCCCTGTGAAGGAGGCAAAGCTATCAAAGGAGAAGAAATAGCCTGAAAAGGCCAAGAAGGAGCCTGACAAGGCAGGGGAGGAAACCCAAGGAACTCAGAGAAAAGTTCCAGGTAACATTACTGATGCAG